TCTATAAAGTCTTCCATTTAGTTTTCAAAAATCTGAATGTTCTTAATCAACTTAATGTTCAATTAGAATTTCCACTACATTTTCGATTAGACTTAAATTTTGTACTCCATATATATTTTCATCACCTTCCTTAATTTTACCTCTTTGTACTTCTACAAATAAGGAATTTTCAGAACCAAGATTCATTGAAAATAGATTGTTCCCACTGGGAGGTAGATTACTCTCATTTAAATCAGAAGCTTACTAGTACGCATAATATTAATTTTACAAATATTCTCCAAACTTTTCTCCTTTATTAGGAAAAATTTCAAATGTCACATCTTGTAACTCAATATCCATCCAAAATTTCATTTATGAACAAGTACCATTTGGACTATCATGTGTGTCTCATAGAGATGCATCTCGAACTGACCAGATTTATGTTTCTAAACTCCCTTGATAAACTCAAGAACATACATTATTGATTATGGGTTTAAGATATGCCATATTTAGTTTTCTATGTGTCTAAATCTTATACAATTCTTCAGGCACCAATATTAACATAACTCCGTTGAGTGACAGGTAACCAAAACTTTTCCCAAGAATAAATATGTAAATTAGACAGCATTATCTCAAGCCTCATTACATGCAGCAGTACTCCATTACTTCTGTCCAATAAATAATTTAGTTTCTTGTGAACAAAGGATAGTCATTCTAATAAGAATTTCTCTTTCATTACCTGGATCATTGAACTCTCGTGATAGAGATTTATGCTATCGAACAGTTCTCAAAGTCTTCACTTTCATAATCTAATTTCCCACTCCACTTCAGTAAAGTCTAAATCACTGTAATATCTTCAATTTATAAAAATCAAAAGTGCTACTAAAATGCATAAATCCATCTATAATGTAATGAAAAACCGAGATTCCATCTTCTTCTCTCTTTATCATAGTCTGCGAAGAAATTTTGATGGAACTGTATTGAAATTTAGTTATTATAGTCTTTGAAAGGTTTTCACAACTCAAAGCCTCAAATCATTGCACAAATAACCAGAATCATAATAAACATCACCACTGTGAGTACAAACAAAACTATAATACATAAATTCAAGTTAGAGACTACTCAAAACAACAACTGAGATCAAGTTTAGTAGAATCTTTGATACTATCGTAAT